AACCTGCTGACACAGGCGCAGAGGTGCGCGGCTTTGAGGGTGGCTAGGTGTTATCGTACAGTGTCTGACATGGCAGCGCTGGTGCTGGCTAGAATGCCTCCAGCTTATCTGTTAGCCGCAGAGAGGAGTTCCATAGCTGAACTGAAAAAGTCCGGAACAGCATTCTCCGTAACTGCAGTCCGGAACGAGACCATCATGCAGTGGCAAATCGCATGGGAATCCACTAAAAAGGCCAGCTGGACTAGGAGGTTAATCCCGGACGTGGTCAGATGGTGGCGACAAGGACCAAAGCAGGTGACCTTTCACATGGCCCAGGTCCTTTCAGGGCATGGATGCTTCCAAGAGTATCTGTGTAAAAGGGGCAGGGCGCGGAACCCAGCCTGTCAACACTGCCCAGCCGAAATAGACGACCCGGAACACACCGTCTTCGGGTGCCCATTCTGGAACGGAAGCAGGCGGGGTCTTTCGCTAAGCCTTGGCAGGCCCCCACGTCCAGAAGACGTAGCAGATCTGCTGTGCAAGCCAAGTCTGGAGGAGCTGCCCACGGACCCAGGCCAACGTCGTAGAATAATGGATGCCTTTTTCAGGAACGAGTCTCTCTTCATGGCTATGGTCGAGTCGATAATGGGACAGAAGGAGGACCTCGAACGGGCAAGGCAAAAAGCAGAAGCGCAACAAGTATAAAAGAGTAGTTAAGTTTACTAATGTAGGCCGAACGGCCCACTCCGGGTGGTTAGAGGCCCCCAATTGTTGTAAATAATATTAGCAATACGTCAATCTGTAATTATGTAATTATGTTCAGCCGCTAATAAACGATATGGTCAGGGAGGCAGCAATGGGAGACCAAATTTCCCTCCCTGCCCATGATTCCAAAGGAAAAAAAAAGAAAAAAAAGGTTAGGTTCTCCCCCGACGGGACCCACCTTGATGCGGTGGGGGAGCTTGCGGGCCTTTAACTAGGTCTTACCAAGCGGTCCCAGCCTTACTTAGGCCCACACACAGAGCCTAACCTTAACTGGTCGGGCAGGTCTTGTCCACCTGCAAGCGCCTGCAAACGGACATAGGTGAAGGTAACACTGACTTAAAATCCCCCTGGCGGCGCGATCCAGAGAAAACTGGCCCTTTGTCACAG